GCTCCAGTGCCCTCCTCATCCTCACAGCCTGCGCTGGCCCCGCTGCAGGAGCTCCCTGGCCCTGCTGTGCTGAGGAGCCAGACCTACCAGGGCTAGGCAGAGGGGCAGGGCTTATCCCTCTATTCCCCACACCCCTGGCCATGCCCCCACGCCCCTCTCTCCCCCCACAGCGCGGTGCCCCTGGCCCACGTGGTGCTGGAGGGTCGCAGGGACCGGCCGCCCCTGGTCCTGCTCCACGGGCTCTTTGGCAGCCACGGCAACTTCCAGACGGTGGCCAAGACGCTGGTACGACGTGGGAGTGGCAAGGTGAGACCCAAGGGGGCCCCCCCCGAGGAGGGGCACAGTGGGCAGTGCCCACAGGGTGACACGGTGCCCCTGCCCAGGCAGGTGCTGACAGTGGACGCCCGGAACCACGGCGGGAGCCCCCACAGCCCTGAGATGACATACGAGGCCATGAGCCTGGATGTGCAGCACCTCCTGAGCCGCCTGGGCATCGCCAAGTGCATCCTGCTGGGACATAGCATGGGCGGCAAGACTGCCATGACGTTGGCCTTGCAGCGGGTCAGCAGGCACGGGGCTCTGGGGTCGGGGGGAGCAGGCTCGGGGGGCTCCTGGGGGGGTTATAGGAAGGGGGTGGCACCCTTTGGGGGTGTTCACCGGTGCCAGCCTTGTCCCCAGCCCCACAGGGCCTTGTCTCCATCAGGGTGGGGTGCAGGAGCAAGTCCATGTTCACCAGCCCAAAGCTCTGCCCCGTCCCTCCAACACCAATGGAGAGGGAGCTTGGAGATCTGTGCCAAGCAGAGGGACTCTGGGAAGGGCACATGGAGGTCTCTGCTGAAGCAGGAGGGAGCAAAGAGCCTCCAGGAAGTCTGACTGGGAGCAGAGCCCTGTGCCCCCTCCCACAGGGGAGATCTTGGGACATCCTGGCGTGGATGTGCTCTGCTTGTGTCCCCAGCCAGACCTGGTGGAGCGCCTCATCTCTGTGGACATTGGTCCCAGCTCGACCGCCCCCGTGTCCGAATTCTCTGCCTACATCTCTGCCATGAAGGAGGTGAAGGTCCCAGCTGGCCTGTCCCGCTCTGCAGCCCGACAGCTGGCTGATGACCAGCTGCAGTCTGTGGTCAAGGTAGGAAATCCCGTGGGAGATGGAGGTGGAGGTGCCAGAACATCCAGGTTTGTTACTGAACAGTGCACCGTCCCCTTCCGTGGCAGCTCCCACAGCTCAGACAGTTCCTCCTCACCAACCTGGTGGAGGCAGAGGGCCGCTACGTGTGGAGGGTGAACCTGGAGGCTATTTCCCGGCACCTGGAAGATATCATGAATTTCCCTGTCTTCCACAAGCCGTATCCTGGCCCCACACTCTTCCTGGGAGGGTCTGACTCGCCCTATATCAGGTGGGACTGGAGAGAAGCGGTTCCAAGTCTGTGGTTTGACCCCTTGTGCTCTTTGCAGCTGCTGAGGGTGGGGAGGAAGCCCCCGGGGCAGGGGAGGCCCTGAGCGAGGTTTGTGCCTCCAGCAGTGACACTGATGCTGGAGTGAGGGGGAACCTGGGGAGGGGACGTGCTCAGGCCTGGGATCACCTTCTGTGTGGGGAAGGGGAGGGAAGACACCAGGAGGGACCTCTAACCGTGGCACGTTCCCTTGTCCCGCAGCTCCAGAGACTATCCGGAGATCCAGCGCCTCTTCCCCAAGGCGGAGATCCAGTACATCAAAGGTGCAGGGCACATAGTCCATCAGGATAAATTCGAAGAATTCATCACTGCTGTCCTCAATTTCCTGCCACAGGTGTAGCACTGGGGACCAGGATTTCTGCAAGGACCATGTGGGTCCTGAGGAGCTCTGGGCAGTGACACAGGGCTTGGGGCTCTGTGAGGAGGGGCTCAGCTGGGACTGGCTGCTCTCAGTGCAGTCTGATCCTGCCTGCAAGGCTCTCCCATCCTGGTTCTCCTGCAGCCAGAGTGGAGAGGGAACTCCATCCCACTGATCTCCCCTGCCACCTCGCAGGGACACAGGGTGGCACCAGCCCAGGACACCGTCCTGCCTGCACTGGAGTGTTGGGCACTCGGAGGGGGCAGGAGAGCCCTCTCGTTTTCCTGCTGCCAGACCCACCCGTGGATCTGGCTGTGACTTTGCAGAACGTGCAATAAAGCTGAATCGGTGCCAAGGCACAACAGGATTTGGATGTGGCTGTGGAGGGCAGGGAGGGTGTGGGGGGCACAGGGAGGGGCTCTCACTTGCCAACAGTGACAACTGGACTGGGGCCCTAATGTGATGAGCTGTGGGAGCAGTGCACAAGACACAGGTTTGAGGATCTTTCTTGGCTCCCAGGGGAATCACATCCTTGCTCCACCTCTGGGGCAACATGAGGACTGGGGAGCAGAGGAATCTGCCTCCTGAGCAAGGAGATGCTGCCAGCCTGTGAGGGGGAGGCATGGAAACCCCCCAGAGTGCATCTGCACAGCCTGTCCCAAAGGCAGAGGTCCCTTTGTCCCTGAGCTCTCAGTGATTTCTCCCCTCCCGCCTGCTCTGCATCCCCCTGAGGCAGCATAACACCCACCCACCCTCTGTGGGCTGGAGGCAGAGGAGCAGGGTGTCTGCTGCAAAAATCCCTTTATTGGACAATGGGTAAAGCCAGGGATGGGGTGGAAGTGGCTGTGGGGGTGACACATCATCTCTGTCACAGCTTGGGGTAGGCTCTGTGTAGGGACAGTGAAGAGAGACACTAACCAGCTTTGCACTTGGTGCTCCCCAGGATGAGTTTGCTCAATCTGAGGTTGTTGGGAGGCCCCAAAGGGGAGGGAGGATGGCAGGCCAAGGATGTTTTATTCCAGGCCTGGCTGTAGTTGGCTGGCAGAGGGGGCACCAGGGGCTGGTTGGGCGATTCGCTGTGTTCCTGCAGAGCTGTTCTTGTCTCTTCCCCTTGTCCTTTTCTGACAAAGTGCATTTTTCAGGAGCAGGGCTGTGTTGGCCTTGAGCTTTCTGCTATGTTACCTCAAATTCAAACACTTTTGCTCTCTGTGTATTATTTTTTCACCAGTGAAGAACATCAGACCAAGA